TTTTCCGCCCCCGACTGGTTTGCCCTTTCCGGCTGTCCAAGAGGGGGGGGTGCAAATCATGACCGGCGGCATGTGCGCGGCCCAGCGGGGGGGCCAGGGGCGTAATGAAATAAGAAGAGGCACCATGAGATCTGGGGAGATATCATGGCCCGCGCCATGATATCCACCCCCCCCTAGTCATCACCCCCCTCTTTTCCGCCCCCGACTGGTTTGCCCTTTCCGTGCTGTCCAAGAGGGGGGGGTGCGAATCAATGACCGGCGGCATGTCCGCGGCCCAAGCGGGGGGGCCAGGGACGTAATGAAATAAGAAGAGGCACCATGAGATCTGGGGAAATATCATGGCCCCCGCCATGATATCCACCCCCCCTAGTCATCACCCCCCTCTTTTCCGCCCCCGACTGGTTTGCCCTTTCCGGCTGTCCAAGAGGGGGGGGTGCAAATCATGACCGGCGGCATGTGCGCGGCCCAGCGGGGGGGCCAGGGGCGTAATGAAATAAGAAGAGGCACCATGAGATCTGGGGAGATATCATGTCCCCGCCCATGATATCCACCCACCACCCCCCCCTATCTCACCCCCCCATCTTTTTCCGGCCCCCGACTGGTTTGGCCCTTTCCTGCCTGTCCAAGAGGGGGGTGTGCAAATCATGACCGGCGGCATGTGCGCGGCCCAGCGGGCGGGCCAGGGGCGTAATGAAATAAGAAGAGGCGCCATGAGATCTGGGGAAATATCATGGCCCACGCCATGATAGTCATCACCCCCCTCTTTTCCGCCCCCTCTTTCCGACTGGTTTGCCCTTTCCTGCTGTCCAAGAGGGGGGGGTGCAAATCATGACCGGCGGCATGTGCGCGGCCCAGCGGGGGGGCCAGGGACGTAATGAAATAAGAAGAGGCGCCATGAGATCTGGGGAAATATCATGGCCCCCGCCATGATATCCACCCCCCCTAGTCATCACCCCCCTCTTTTCCGCCCCCGACTGGTTTGCCCTTTCCTGCTGCTCCTTGTTCGGCGCGCAGACCATGACAGCCCGGTGGCGGTCGATCACACACGTCTCCACGCCGAAGCTCGGCAGAGGCCGGCGGCAGGCCGCCGGCCGTGCGGTGACGAGGGCAGGACGCCGGCCTCCGCGCAGACTCCCGGGGATCCCTTCCAGGCAGGCCTCAGGCTTTTCCCATCTCAGGGTCTGGGGTCTAGGGTCTAGGGTCTAGGGTCCAGGGTCTGGGGTCTGGGGTCTGGGGTCTGGGGTCTGGGGTCTAGGGTTTACAGTCACGGTGCTACCATAAGGAACGTCGAATGGGAAACAAAAAGGGGCGTCTCGGGTAACGGCGAGCCTCGGCCGGGAACAGGTTGTCCCCGACCCGGACTGCAGAGCAGGCCCAGGAGCCGGGGCCCCTCCAGACCCAGAAGCAGTCCTTCTTGTAACGTCTTGACTGCGACGCGCGCACGACCCCCCAGAGGGGGGGGGCTGCGACGTGCGCACGACCCCTCGGGCAGGTCGCGCAAAGAGAGGCTCCCCCAGTGGCGCCAAGCGAGCGGGCAGTGAGGAGGACGGGGAAGAAGAAGAGGGGGAGGAGGAGGAGGAGGAGGAGGAGGAGGAGGAGGAGGAGGAGGAGGAGGAGGAAGCAGAAGTTGAGCGGCCCGAGAAGGAGCAGGGTGCCTGGCCTGGGGCGCGCGGCCTTCTGGCCTGACCTCCTGGGGTGTTCCAGTGGAAGGCCTACCAGAGAAGACTTGGCCAGCCCACCCACCCCCGCCCTGTCTGAGTGTACACATAACATAGATACGTACGCACGCACGTACGCACGCACGTACATAAATACATGCATACATGCATACATGCATACGTGCATACGTGCACACATGCATACATGCATACATGCATACATGCATACATGCATGCATGCATGCATGCATACGTGCACACATGCATGCATGCATCCATACGTACGTACGTACGTACATACATACATGCACACACATACATACACGCGCATACAAATACACACACATACATGCACGCACATACAAACACACACACATACATATACACACATACTCATACACACACACACACATACACCCACACACATACACCCACACACACACACACATGCATACACACATACACACATACACACACATACACACACACACACACACACATGCATACATGCATGCATGTATGCATGCATGCATACATACATACATATACACATAAATGCATACAGACATACAGACCTACAGACATACATGCATAACGACAGGCGTACAGACATACCTATATACACGTATCTACAATAATGCATACCAGCATACATATCTACGCGCATACATGCATGCGTACATGCATACATACCTGTCGACCTACCTAAATACCTGCCTAACGAGCTACCTACCTACCTAGCTGCCGACCTACCTACCCACTTACCGAACCACCTACATACATACCTACCTGCCGACCTACATACCTACCTACATTCATACATTCAGACGTACGAACATACATGCATGCATAGGTACATACATGTGTACATGCACGCATACATACTTAGATGCACATATACATACAGTCATACATGCATGCATGCATGCATGCATGCATGCATACATGCACATATGTATACAGACAGACTACAGACAAACAAACATACATAACTGCATACACACATACGGGCATGCATACCTACATACATCTGCATGTGTACATAGATACAGACATATATACATGCATACATGCATACATGTATGCATAAATGCATAAATGCATAAGTGAATGCATGCGAGAATGCGTGCATGCATGCATACATGTCTACGTAAATGCGTTCATACATAAACATACAAACATACATACAGACACGCACGTACAGACCTACATACATTCATACATAGATACATACAGTAATGCATACATGCAGTAATGTATGCATTAATACGTACATACCTACATGCATGCACGCACTGACATACCTACGCACATACATGCATACATACATACATACATACATACATACATACATAACATACATACATACAGACTACAGACAGACAGGCAGGCAGGCAGACAGACAGACAGACAGACAGACAGACATGCATGCATGAATGCATGCATTCATGCATGCATGCATACATACATACCCATGCATACAGACATGCATACATACATACTTGCATGCATGCATGCATAGATACCTACATGCATACGCGCATGCACGCACGCATGCATACATACCTAGCTAAGTGCATACATATCTGTATGTGCGCATGCATACATACATGCATGTATGCATGTGTACATGCACGCATGCATATATACATACATATATGTATATATATATACATATATATATTGCATATATATGTATATATACACACGCATGCCTAAATGGGTGCATGCATGCATGGGAATACGCACACGTGCACAGAATGGATACGTGATGAGATGCATACAAACATGCATACATGCATGCATGCATACATACATACACACTAACAGACAGACAGACAGAGCTACAGACATACACATGCGTGCACACAGGCACACACATACACACATGCATATGCATACATGTCCATACGTGTATGAATAAACACACCTTCACACCGAATCCCACCTGACTCACCACACGGCGCGGCCACCGCACCGTCGGTCGAAGCAGGGCGAGCCGAAACGACGGCGGCTCTCTCCCGGGGACCAAAACCCACCAGGCTCCCGAGCTGCGCCCAGCCGTGGCAAACCACCGCTGTCTCGACTCGTCCTCCTCTAAGGTTGGGGGCCCCCGATGCCCAGAACCTCGGGCCCCAGGACGAGTCAGCATCGCATCGGCAAACCGGATCGACTGGAAGTGTGCCTCCGATCGGGCCGCATCGGCACGGCTTCGACGTCGAATCGGGCAAGCTGCGCCAGGATGCAAGACAGAGCACACGCAAGCCTCGGGCCGCACCGGATCGCTGGCACATCGGAACCGCACCGCATCGACACCGAGGTCGAATCGGCCCGCTCGGATCGAAGTGGACCCCAAAGGGCCCCGGCCCAGTGGTGACCCTGGAGCCCCGGCGAGAGCTCTTGCGCCCGCGCCCGGCTCGAGCCCAGGCCCCGCCCCCGCGCCCGGGCCCCAGCCCAGCCCCGAGCGCCCGAGCGCCCGAGCGCCCGAGCGCCCCGAGCGCCCCGAGCCCGCCGACGGCCCCCGAGCCGTGCGCGCCCCGGCGCGCCCCGCGCACGCGGGGCCCCTCTCCGCCCGACGGAGGCTGGCGTCCCGCGAGGGGGCGCCGCGGCCCGTCGCGCGAGGCCATCCGCAGCCGATGGCCGGGCGCGCGGCAGGGCGATCGGCGCGGGCCCCCCGGGAGCGGAGAGGCGCGGCGCGCGCCGTGCGGGGGCGCCGCCGAGCTGCGGCGTCGCGGCGCGCGGTGCGGTGGCTCTCTCCCTGGGGCGCCCTGCTTGGAGGCCTCCTGGAGGGGGTCGGAGGATCCCCAGACCCCCGGAGGCCTCCTCGACACCAAAGTCCCCAGACCCTCCTCCTCCCCCTCCTCCTACCTCCTCCCTCCTCCTCCTCTTCTCCTCCTCCCTCCTCCTCCTCCTCCTCCTCCTCCTCCTCCTCCTCCTCAGGAGCGGTGTGTGCGCCCTGCTGGCCTGGCCAGGAGGGCACGTGCACCGCTCCTGGGCCCCAGGCGTGGGCCTGGCGCCGGGAGGCAGCGGACGTGTGCAGACAGCTCTCGTCGCCCGGCCTCCCCTCCCCCCCGGCCCCGTGCCCTGTCGTGGGGGCAGGCGCCGAGCGCTGGGTCGGGCTATGTCCCCGTGCGGGCGGATTCTGGGCGACACCTGAAAGATGCTCGCAAGAGATCCTCAAACATAGCGAAGAGATGATCGAAAAGTCGTCCCCCGACCATTCTTGTCTACCATGTCGCAGGATTCCACATGTAGAAGGGACAGGCCCAACTCAACCCTCTCTCTCTCTCCCCCCGCCCCGCGCTTTGCCGCGGGCGCAGGGCGCCTCGAGCGGCCTCTGTCGCGGGCGCGCCCGCGCGCGACGCTCCTTCCGCCGCGCAGGCCCCCCCGCGCGCGCGAGAGAGGCCGCCACGCTGAGGGGGCGCGCGCGCGCGCCGACCCGCCGCCGACAGGGAAGGACAGAGGCCTCCTGGATGCCACCGCAGCCGCGCAGCAGCTGAACAATGCAAAGGTGTTCGAACATGGCTCAAGAAAAAAGTGCAAAGTTGCAGGAGGAGAGTCGCCCTGAATGGCCCCTGGAAGTCCGCTGTTCCCCTCTCGCACTTGAGGGCCACATCCCAGAAATCATTTCGAGCACCCAGAAAGGTATCGAAACAGTGTCTGCCCGACGCGGCAGTGAAGAGCCGAACAACAGTCACCTCCCAGGACCCGACACATGAAAACTCTCAAGTTTCGGTAAGATCCTGGTGCTCGGAATCCTGGTGATCCAGGCTAGAATAGGTTGGAAACATCATAACCCTAGCGTTAGGTCGGGCATGCCCTCCCACAGGCGGATTTTGGACGAAACATGAAAGAGAGTCAAAGGATACCCCAGATTAGCAAGACATGGTCCAAAAGTGGTCCCCTGAGTATTTGTTTCAACTATTTTTGAGCGTTCCTCCTGTAGAAGGGACAAGCCCGACTTAACCCTGGAGGTGACTACCTACCAGACCACCCCAACCCAACCCGAAGACCCGAATTTCGGGCTGGGGGGGGGGTACGGGTCCCATGTGTGCTTTCTCGATGTTCCCCGACCCCCCCACACTGGAAATGGAGGGCAAATTGAGGCCTTCGGGTTGGGTTGGGTTGGTTTGGTAGGTTAGGCGACGAGCCCAGGGGGGAAATGAGAAGGAGAAGGCCTTCTCAGAAGGCCGCGGGACTTCTTAGACGTCCGGGGGGCTTCTGAGACGTTTCCTTGGCCTATTTCGAACACAGACAGAACTTCTCAGAAGCCCTCTCAGAAGTCCAGAAACTTCTCAGAAGCCTCGGAAGTCCCGCCCCTTCTCATTTCCCCCCCGCGCCCGCCGCTTAGGTGGTGAGGAGGGGGAGGTGCCGCATCAGTCAGCATCGAATCGGCCACCCCGATCGAATCGGAGAGCGCGCAGCGGATCGGGCCGCGTCGGCTCGGCGCAGATCTGTCGAACCCGAGCGGCTGCGCCGGGAGGCACGGCAGCGCCGGGCAGGCATCGGGCCGCACCGCGTCGTCGGAGCATCGAGGAGGGAGGAGGGAGGAGGGAGGGAGGGAGGGAGGGAGGGAGGGAGGAGGAGGAGGAGGAGGAGGAGGAGGAGGAGGAGGAGGAGGAGGAGGAGGAGGAGGAGGAGGAGGAGGAGGGGAGATTCGCCCCTAGCCTAGAGGAACAAAAATGCATAAACCTACAAACTGTCGGAGCTCCGGGCGAATCTCTTGGATCGGCGCTGGGCCCCCTGGCGGCGCCTCCGGCGCCGCCCCTGCGGCGCTCCGCGCGACCGGGGGGGGGAATTCGGGGTCCAGCACCGGTGCCAGAAATCTGCGCGGAGCTCCAAAAGGTTCTGCTCACATGCCGCCTTCTCGTCCTCGACGGACGGCCCAAGTGTGAGCAGACTCCACGGGCGAAGGAGAGCGGTACGGTATATATATAGCATAAGCTCTTTGTTCGCGGTCGGGGGCACCCGCCCCAGGGCGGCTGGAAAGCTTATGCCCTGACGATGGCACCGCAGGGGTATATATGAACCTTCCAGCCGCCGATGGGGCGGGCGTCCCCGACGGCGGAAAAAAGCTCATGTTATATACCGCTCTTCGCCCGTGAAGTATGTTGGGCCGGCCGCAGGGGCACAAACGTTCCAGCCGCCCAGGGGCGGGCGCCCCCGACGGCGGAAAAAAGTCTATGCTATAGACCGTTATTCGCCCGCCAAGTATACAGCCGGGTTCGCTCGCTCCTTCCTGTCGCCATCACGGATCGATCCGGCTCGAGAAGCGCCGCCGTTGCGATGTTTCGCAGCGTCGCTATGTTTCGAGTCTGTGCCGCAACGTCGGAGACAAGGGGAAAGCCGCTGCTTGGCGGGCCGCGCAGGTACTGGATGCAGGGGGAGAAAACAAAAACAAACAAACAAACAAACAAACAAACAAACAAACAAACAAACAAAAACACAAAAAACGGGAGCCATGACCAAAACTGAACGCGAAAGAGTCGGTGCCGATCTTGGTCGTCGTCCATGCGTGGACCATCCTCGCGGATCGGCGACGGCCAGCATGGACCATGGCAAGATCCCGTGGCACCCTGGTCATGGTCACCCCGCTTCCTCCCTCGACAGGCGAACGCCAGCTGCACACCCTCCCACTCCTCCTGAGTTCCTGATTTCCTGACGGCTTCGGTGTTCTCCGAACGCAGCCGCTTCCCCCAGGGCTAGCCAAAGGCCAGCCCTGGGGGAGAAAAAATAGATACTAGTTGAAGTAGAAAGACGGGGAGGAGGAAGGAGGAACGGGAGATCCCCCTCTCCTCCCCCTCCCCCCCCTCCCCCTCCTCCTCCCCCTCCCCCTCCTCCTCCCCTCCCCTCCTCCCCCTCCCCCCTCCCCCTCCCCCTCCCCCTCCCCTCCCCCTCCCCCTCCCCCTCCCCTCCCCCTCCTCCCTCCTCCTCCTCCTCCTCCTCCTCCTCCTCTCCTCCTCCTCCTCCTCCTCCTCCTCCTCCTCCTCCTCCTCCTCCCTCCTCCTCCTCCTCCTCCTCCGCCTCCTCCTCCTCCTCCTCCTCCTCCTCCTCCTCCTCCTCCGCCTCCGCCTCCGCCTCCGCCTCCGCCTCCGCCTCCGCCTCCGCCTCGCCTCCGCCTCCGCCTCCGCCTCGCCTCCGCCTCCGCCTCCGCCTCCGCCTCCGCCTCCCTCCGCCTCCGCCTCCGCCTCCGCCTCCCTCCGCCTCCGCCTCCCTCCGCCTCCGCCTCCGCTCTCCGCCTCCGCCTCCGCCTCCGCCTCCGCCTCCGCCTCCGCCTCCGCCTCCGCCTCCGCCTCCGCCTCCGCCTCCTCCTCCTCCTCCTCCTCCTCCTCCTCTTATTCTTCTTCTTCTTATTAATAATATTATTATTCTTATTATTCTTCTTATTCGTCTTCTTCTTCTTATTATTATTCTTATTAGTCTTATTATTCTTATTATTATTTTCTTATTGTTCTTATTATTCTTCTTATTCTTATTAGTATTCTTATTATTCGTCTTATTCGTCTTATTATTCGTCTTCTTCTTCTTATTATTATTCTTCTTATTCTTAATATTCGTATTATTATTATTCTTAATATTATTCTTATTCTTCTTCTTATTATTCTTCTTCTTAGTATTATTATTATTCTTATTCGTCTTCTTATTATTAGTATTATTATTATTCTTATTCTTAATATTCTTATTATTATTCGTATTATTCTTATTATTCTTATTATTATTCTTCTTCGTATTATCATTCTTATTATTATTATTCTTAGTAGTAGTATTCTTCTTATTATTATTATAAATATTATTATTCTTATTATTCTTAGTATTCGTATTAGTATTATTGTTATTCTTCTTATTATGCTTCTTCTTCTTCTTAGTATCATGATTCTTATTATTGTTCTTCTTCTTCTTATTATTATTATTCTTTGTATTATTCTTATTATTCTTATTCTTATCACTAGTCTTCGTGTTCTTCTTCTTATTCTTCTTCTTCGTCTTCTTCTTATTATTATGATTATTCTTATTATTCGTAATATTATTATTATTATTATTCTTATTCTTCTTATTCTTATTATTATTATTATTCTTATGATTCGTCTTCTTATTATTATTCTTATTCGTCTTATTCGTCTTATTATTCTTCTTATTATTCTTCTTCGTCTTATTATTATTTTTCTTATTATTCTTCGTCTGCTTCTGCTTCTGCTTCTTCTTATTCTTCTTATTATTAGTGTTCTGTTTCTTATTCTTATGATTCTTATTATTATTATTCTTCTTATTATTATTATTCTTATTATTCTTATTCTTCTTCTTATTATTATTATTATTATTCGTCGTCTTCTTCTTCTTCTTATTATTATTATTATTATTCTTATTATTCTCTTATTATTATTATTATTATTATTCTTCGTCTTCTTCTTTATTCTTCTTCTTCCTCCTTCTTCTTCTTCTTCTTCTCCTCCTCCTCCTCCTCCTCCTCCTCCTCCTCCTCCTCCTCCTCCTCCTCCTCCTCACCTCTCCTCCTCCTCCTCCTCCTCCTCCTCCTCCTCCTCCTCCTCCTACTCCTCCTCCTCCTCCTCCTCCTCCTCCTCCTCCTCCTCCTCCTCCTCCTCCTCCTCCTCCTCTCCTCCGAAGTCCGCCGCTCCCTGGGCATGCTCCCGGCGCGCGCGCGCTCCGGCCCGGGTGGCTCCGCCGGGGCGACTCCTGCAGCTGCGGCGGCGGCGAGCACCTCTGGAGGCCGGAGGAGGACGAAGACGAGGGAAGGGCAGCGGTGTCGACGCGAGCGGCGTGAAGACACGGGCATTGCACGATACGGCAGAGCGACCTCAGGCCAAGGCTTGCGCGGGCCGCCAGCGTGGCACGCTACCTTGGAGAAGAGGGCGCTTGAGTGTGCGACCTTGCGCGGGAAACGGACGCGCGAAGGTCGGCTCAGTCTAACCCGCTGTTTTGCGTCGCTCATGTGTTTATGTGTTCTTCTCCTCGAGCCCGGCACCGCCCTAGCGCGCGTCGTCCTCGGTGGCCGTCTGCGCAGCGAAATACGCCGTCCCGGCCGCGAAGGTGCCGGCGCAGATCGCCAGGGCCGCCTCGGGCCCCAGCCGGTCGTCGGCGGCCCCGAGAGCAAAGGGCGCCACGGCGTAGCTGAGGTCGCCGACGGTCTTGGGGACGCTCAGCGCCGCTCCCCGCGAGTCCTCCGGGGCGGCCGAGATCGCGTAGGCCTGGAGGGCGGGGGACTTGACGGCCGCCGCGAGCGCCCAGACCGCCAGGCTGCCGAGGAAGAGCTCCCTGCTGTGCGCGCCGACGCCCGCGGCGGCGCCCACGTAGCCCAGGGCGCACACGGAGCCGCAGGCCACGAGCACCCTACGGGGGCCGAACGCGTCCGCGATCTGCCCGCCCACCAGGGTGCCGACGATGGCCAGCGCCGCGATCGCCGAGAAGAGCTGGCCGACCTCCGTGGGGGAGGCGCCGAAGGCCTCGTTGGCCACGCTGGGGATGAGCGAGATCTTGCAGGCGGTCCCGCAGTAGAAGGCCACCGAGATGCCCGCCAGCGCCCTCTGCTCGCGGGTCTCTATCAGCTCCTGGAAGCTGGGCGGCTGCTCGCGGCGCTCCGACGCCTGCCACAGCTCCGGCAGCGTGGCGTAGCCCAGGGCGCAGAGCGAGGCCCCGCCAGCGACCGTGAAGAAGAGCGAGCTCATGCCGTACTGGTCTGAGACCATGCCTGACAGGGCCAGAGGAGAACCGCTTCGCGAGCCGGCGCCGAGGAGGGGTGCGCGGAGAGGCCGTAGAAGCAAGTTCGTTCGGGCGGTGCTCTCTGGTCCCACGTTACCCCCCCCAATCTGGGCAAACCTGCCCTGGGCCCACCTCTCGAAGTGCTTCGTCTCCTGGCCAGGCCTGGGGGCCCGCTGCCAAGAAGGACCTCGAGTGCGCGGAGTACGGGGGTGCAGAGCGGCCACGTCCGATCGCGCGAGCAGCCACCATCGCACCGCGCTCAGCGATCGGGGGACCCCGGGGAGCCCACACCAAAGGTCACTCCGGCAAAGGGTCACCCGTACGGGGGGTCGTGTCGTGCCGACCCCGGCAGTGGTCCCTGACACCGCGGGAAGCGCCCAACCCTGAGCGATCGGTAGTTTGCCAAACGTCCGATCGTTCAACCTCGACCGAGTTGAGGTCACCCGCGGCCTTGAGCCTTGAACGCCCACACTGGGGTCGCCGCTGGTCGGCACGACGCGAAACCACCGTACGTGTAGTCGGCATGCGCACCAAGACATGACTTGTGTTGCTCCCATCGTACTTAAGGACCACATCCCAAACATAGTTTCGATCACCCAGAAAAGTGTCGACACGGTGCCGAGCAGACATCGCCTCCCGGGGCCCGACGCGCGAAGGCCCTCCCGCTTCGGTGCTCTCTTGGTGCCCGAAACTCTTGCTGGCGCTCGAGGCCACAGTAGGCTGGAGCAGCATAAGACATGACCCCGAAGTGGCCCGAGTCGGCGTCGGCCCCCTGCGGGCAGGGGTCCAGAACTCTGTGGCCGGCAGACTGGGGAAATCACACCATCAGAAGTCTGGACGGCGCCTCCATCTCGTCTTTCGGCCCCTCCTCCTCCTTCTCCTTCTTCCTCTTTTCCTCCTCCTCCTCCTCCTCCTCCTCCTCCTCCTCCTCCTCCTCCTCCTCCTCCTCCTCCTCCTCCTCTGACTCCTCCTCCTCGTGACTCGTGGCTGCGGTGGTGTGCCCGTGCCCCCCGCGGGTGCCCCCCAGCGTGGGCCCCAGCACGAACGCGGCCGCCAGCACGGCGCTCTGCAGCCCGAGAAAGGAGGCCCGCCGCTCGGGCCGCTCCTCTGGCGGGCCCAGCTTTCCAACAACACTGCCATGGGTAGGAGAGGGAGGAGGAGGAGGAGGAGGAGGAGGAGGAGGAGGAGGAGGAGGAGGAGGAGGAGGAGGAGGAGGAGGAGGGAGGAGGAGGAGGAGAAAGAGGAGGAGGAGGAGGAGGCGGAGGAGGAGGAGGAGGAGGAGGAGGAGGAGGAGGAGGAGAGGGAGGAGCAGGAGGAGGAGGAGGAGGAGGACATCCTCATCCTCCCTTCTCCCCCGTCCTACATGTGGTAGTGGTGGTGGAGAACTTGCCCGTCATCCTCGGTGGCATCCGCCACCCACGCCGCGGCGCCGGTGTCGGAGCTGGAGATGCCGGCGCCGAGGAGCAGCCGGGAGAGGACGAGGGGCACCAGCCCCGTGGCGAGGCCAGTGCCTCCAGGGCGGCGAAGCCTGCTCATGCAGCAGGGGCTCGACCACGAGAAGCCCTCCACACGGGACCCAGCTCTGAGACCCCAGGACGTCCAATGGTGGTTTTTCGTGGGGGAGCGTCACGATGGTTCCTTGGCAAGACCAGCGGGGCCCAGGAAGCCCAGGGCGCCCTGGAGGCAAGCATGGGTGCTTCTGGGCATGGGCTCCCACACGGCTCCCTGGCCAGGCACATCCTGCACTCGGCAGCGGCGTGTGCGCCACGCCCCCCTAGCTGGGCCAGGAGGGCGTTGTCCACGGCTCCGCGGCCCAGGAAGGGCCCCGGCCAGGAGGCAGTGGATACCCATCTGTCGGAAGAAGTAGGTCGAGACATGAAGGAGGAAAGCGTTGAAAGTAGGTAGGGTAACCGCCCGCCCCCGAAGGAGCACGGAAAAGGTGAAGCAACTCGATCATTGAAGTAGGAAGGCGAGGTAGGAAAGGAAGAGGGTCGCGAGTCCTTTTTCCCCGTGCGCTGAGTATGAGGCAGCGCGATGTGTTATACCAATACCTGCGCCGAGCCGTCAGCGGTAGATAAGGATAGAATGGTGATACGTGCGGGCTTCACACACACACACATTCTCAACGACCGAAGGGTGCGCACGGACTTCGCCGCCCGAGCCTACGTCGGCCACAGCGCAGACCGCCATGCCGCCCACCATGAGCAGCTTGCGGCCGACCTCGTCCGCGAGGCGGCCCATGGGCAGGTTCAGCAGCAGCTTCGCGACGCTGGAGTCAGGTCGGGCGTGCCCCCCTGCAGACGGATCGTGCACGAAAAAACCCGAAGGTTCAAAAAATGCATGGTTTGGATGCAAAGACTGGTTTTCGAATTCAAAAACCAGTCTACGGGCGGATTTTGCACGAAAACTCATTTTAAAAACAAACATATATATATATATATATATATATATATGTCGAAAATAATCGCGAAAAATCGTCCCCCGACTGTATTTGTACGATGTTTGAAGATTCCGCCTGTAAAGAGACATGCCCGACCTAACGCTGGGGGAGGAGACCAGCAGGCCAACGGAGCTCTGGGACAGGGCCGGACCTGGAAGCGTTGTGCTTCGGTGTTGCTTTCGTGCGGCCGGTCGTTGTGCCCTGCCTGCTCGACGGGGGCCCTGGAACACACAAAGAAATACACACAAAGAGCAGGACTCCCCGTAGGTTCCCATATCTTCTGGATGTGTGTCTTTCCCCCCACTTCCCGTATGTTCCCACGTTTTCTGGGGAATCGGCGATTGATTGTGCCTGTCTGTTTTCCCTCCTGGATGCTTTCCTGTGCCTCCCTGCCCAAACGAGACACAAAGCACAGACCGAAGTCCAGAAAAACAACGCTCAGGTCCAGCCCTGCTCTGGGACAGGCCGAACTTCTGGCCGTAGAGCGGCAGAATGGGCACCAGGGCGCCCACGCACACCAGCAGCGCGAACTGCGACAGCAGGAAGACCGCCAGCTCCCTGTCCCGCTCGGCCTCTTTTCGGCAGACGAGGGCGGCCTAGCCCCGAGGGCAGCGGGCCCTGGACTCCGGTCGGGCATGTCCCCCCACAGGCACGTGCTTGGAGGATACACAGGGAATACCCCCACAAAAAAGATAGCGTATTTCTTTTTATTTTTCGAAGGAAAAAATAGTTATATATATAATTATATATATATATATATAAAAAAAAAAAAAAAAAAAAAAAAAAAAAAAAAAAAAAAAAAAAAAAAAAAAAAAACGTCCCAGTGGTATTTGTTGTTTGGGGGCAGGTCTCCTGCGGAGGGGCGTGCCCGACGCAGCCCTGGACCCCTGGGGGGCCCTCGCCGCCCGGGAGAGCGGCTGCTCGCCCTCTGTGGGGCCGCTCTCCGACCCTCCCGGAGGGGCCCCCCTGGGAGGGCCCCCTGAGGAGGGAGGAGGGAGGAGGGAGGAGGGAGGAGGGAGGAGGGAGGAGGGAGGAGGGAGGAGGGAGGAGGGGAGGAGGGGAGGAGGAGGAGGAGGGAGGAGGGAGGAGGGGGAGCAGGGGGGCCACGCGCGGGCCCAGCCCCTCGGCCGGGGCGCGTGCCCCTGCAGGCGGCCTCTGGACCAGAAACTGGAAGGCAGCCCAGGAAAAAACTCCAACTGTTCGAACCCTGCTCCAAGATAGTTAGTCGAGAAGGTCGCCCCCCTGCCATTTGTCGACTATAGTCTGGAGCATTCCTCCTGCAGAGGGACGGGCCCGGCTTCGCCCTACCCCCCACGACTTCTGGGGGGGAGGGTGGGATTCACTTCGCTTGGGATCGCTCCCGAGCGAAGAGAACCCCCCACCCTCCCTTCAGAAATCGTGGGGGGGATGGGCAGGGCTCGCATGTGGCCCCCTGAAAAGCCCCAAGAACAGAGGAAGAACCTCAGGACCCGTTTCCCTCTCGGGAGCGCGCAAACATGGATCAGCGATCCATGGATGTGGCGCGCGCTCGCCAAATCCATGCATCGGGGGAGGTGCCCTCCCCAAAATGCGGCCGGTGCCGCCTCGTTCGGCGGCGGAACTCCGCGATTCCCCACGAAGACGGGACCCGTCGCTGATCCACGCCCCCCCATCCACGTTTGCGATCGCCTGACTCAGAGCCCGCTTCCGGCCACGCGATTAGCCCGATGTTTTGTCACGACGCAGCCCCCGGGAAGCCCCGACTCTCCCGGCCCCAGGGCCAGCCGCCAGCTGCGGGTCGCTCCTGCACGGCCCCGGGGCCCGCCGGGAGCCCCCAGGAGGCCGCCCTGCGGACAAAAAACCTCCCGTCGCGACTTTGCCCGCGACGCCAACGTCGGGTGCTGCCAGAGGTGCCCCTGGCCCAGGGTGCCCCCAGCTCCCCGCTCCACTTTGGAGCCCCTGGGGCCCTCCTGGGCCTCGCGAGGGGTGCTCTGGCGGCCCTCTGGGCCACCCCGAGAACCCTCGGGCGGCCTTGGGTTATGTCGGGCGTGTCCCCCTGCACGGGAATTTTCGACGAGAAAAAAAAATACCCAAAAAATACCCCAAAAAAGGCCAGAAAATACTCAAAAAAGTCCCCAGACTATTCTTGGACTATTTTTGGATCATTTTCGGGGTATTCTTTATGTTTTTCGTAGAAAAATCCCCCCTGTAGGGGGACAGGCCCGACTTAAGCCTCGGGCCAGGGGCACCCCTGGCAACGCCCGAAACCTCTCTGGGCCCCTTCTGCGGCCACCCCGAGAACCCTCGGGGGGCCTGGGGCCAGGGGGCACCTCTGGCAACGCCCGAAACCTCTCTGGGCCCCTTCTGCGGCCACCCCGAGAACCCTCGGGGGGCCTGGGGCCAGGGGGCACCTCTGGCAACGCCCGAAACCTCTCTGGGCCCCTTCTGCGGGCGAGGCCTCCGGCCCCGCTGCCTCGCCGCCCGCCCGCCGCGCCCCGCGGCGGCGCGGCGGCCCGCCGGCGGCACCGCCGGCGGCACCGCTGGCGGCACCGCGAGCCTCGGCCAGGGCGCCGCGGCGGCGCGCCCGCGCGGCCGCGCCGGCGCCCGGCGCGGCCACGTAGCACCTGGGCACGCGCGCGCTCCACTGCTCGCCAAAGATCCGGAGGGAAAAAAGACACACAGACACAATGCATCGTCGATGCCCAAAGAGGAAATATGGGGAAAGAGGGGACGTGGGGGGGGAAGACAAGCACCCAGAACACATGGGGGAAAGTATGGGGAATCCTGCTGTTTGGGTCCATTTAGTTGTGTGTCCCAGGGCCCCTTCAAAAGCATCCAATCGCCAATGGCCTGACTTCGCCGCGGGGGGGCTGGGCGATGCCATCACGGCTGGGCACAACACACGTGCGCCTCCGACGCTTGCGAGCAGGCACTCTTGCGAGCAGAGGAGCGCGCTCGGGGCGCACCTGGCGGGCGCCGCCGCTGGCCTGGCCGCCACCGGCGCCGCTGCGGACGCCGCCACGGCGGCGGCCGCGGCACCGCCCACGGCGCCCCGCCAGGCGCCGCGGGCCCGTCGGCGAGGCGGCGCGGCAGCCGCGCCCGAGGCGGCCCGCGACGCCGACCGCGCCGCCGCGCGCCCGCAGGCGGGCGCCATGGGCGCCAGGGGCGGGGCCCGTCGGGCGAGGCGGGGACGCATCCACTCAGCGGGAGCTCGACCACAGGAAACTTCCACGAGAGACCGAACCAAGAGTGGCCTGGAGTGCGCGGATCACGGGGACGCAAGGCGGCCAAATCCGATCGCGCAAGCAGCCGCTGCCGCGTCGCGCTCAGCGATCGGGGGGATCCCGGCGAGCACGCACCAAAGGTGACTCCAGCGAGGGGTCGCTCTCACGTGCAGTCGACGTGCAGTAGGAGCTCGACCACAAGAAACCTCCCACGAGAAACCCAGCCCTGAGACCCCAGGACGCCCACGGATTTTTGGTGGTGGGACCGCCACGCTCTCCATCGCAAGACCATCGAGGCTCAAGAAACCCAGGGCTGGGGAAACCAAAAGGTACCGGTTACCGCTACTCCCCGGACCTCTCCCGGGATGCGTTCTGACCAGAATTTCGAGGCGAATCCAGCAGTGGCGACGAGGGCCTCCCAGGAGGAGGTCCAAGAGGGGGAAAACGAGGGAGGGGAAGCGGTACGGGTGCCTGTTCCTCCTCCGAAGGGCACCCGGGAGGCACGCAGCGTGCGCTTCTCGGCAGGGGCTCCCGCTGCAGGTCCACCGCCCTGGGGGGAGTGAGGCCCCGGGGCCCCTGCGGGCGGTGTGCCTCTGGCGGCGCGAGCCCCCCCGGGGGGGAAGCGAGCGGGGGGGGCATAGGCCTCCCCGGAAGGCGGCGGGGCCTCTCGGGAGCAGCCCCCGCGCCTGCCGGGGGCGCGCTCTGCGCCCTCCTCCGCGGGCAGGGGCGGCCTCTCCGACGAGGGGGGGCTGTCGGAGGAGCCCGGCCGCCCTCCGAGGAGGCCCGTCCCCCCTCTCGCTTTCCCCCCCGGGGCTTGCCGCCGAGACATGCCTGTATTTGGCCCCCCCACGGCCCGAGTACGTACAGGTACACCGTCCCCGAAGGCAGGCATCGCAGGCATCGGATCAGGAACTCGGATCGGACAGGGACGCGTGTCGCAACCGGGCCGCACCTGCCCGGAGCCAGGGTCGAATCGGCTCGGCGGCGCCGGGATGCACGACAGCGCCACGCAGGCACCGGGCCGCATCGGACCGCACGACCAGCGGAATTCGATCGCATCGGGCCGGCCAGCACCGACATGGAATAGGACCGATCGGATCGATGGGAGCCTTCTGAGAAGGATCGATCGGATCGATATGGAATAGGATCGGTAGGATCGATCGGATCGATATGGAATAGGATCGATCGGATCGATGGGAATTTGCTGAGAGGGCCTGCTCCTGCTCGCTTCCCCCCCTCGCTCGCCGCCGACCGGAGCGAACCCCGCGAAGGGTCGACCCCCAGGCGGTGGCTGTGGACGAACCCCCGCCTCGGACGCCGGGCGCGCGGGCGCCAGGCCTGCGCGCGGCGCGCACGGGACGAGGCGCCCCTTTGTGGCCAAGCGCAGAAGGGGGTAGGGGGAGGGGGGAAGGCTTCTCAGAAGCACCCCTGCTTCTTACAAGGCGCGGGCCTTCTTTGTAGATGTAAGGCCGGCGCCTTCTAAGAAGCAGCCCCCTTCTAAGAAGCCTTCCCCCCTCCCCCATAGCCCCTTGTGCGCGCCGCCAACCTCTGTGGAGCCCGAGGCTACGGTGGACGACTTCCCCCACACGCGTGCGCAGTGCTCGGCGGCAGCTCGCTGGAGCCAACCCACGCCATCTCGCCGGCGCTTGCGAGCCGAAGCTGACCGCCACTGATCGACGCGAAGTCGACGATCATCGACGCTAGACCGACGCCAATCGACGCCAAGTCGACGCCAAATCGACGCCAAATCGACGCTAATCGGCGCCGAATCGACGCAGAACGCCAAATCGACGCTAATCGACGCCGAATCGACGCCGAATCGGCGCCTTCTCATCGACTGCCAGACGCGCCAGCACACCCGAGTGCACTCCCAGAGACGGCACTGCGAAGACACAGTGCGCCGAACGCAATGCATGACTTGCTGCCGAACGCAGTGCGCCCTAGCCCGGCACTCGAGCCGCCAGCGAGAAGGCACGAGCGCTAGAGCCACTGCTTCCTGCACAGGACTGGCCGGCTGGAGACACTCCGTGCGTGCTCGAACGGAGCAGCCGAACGGATTTCGGCCTCCGCTCCAATGCGGTGTCGCCCCCCCCCCCCGACCTCCCCCGCCAGGTTTTGGCGGCGCGCACAAGGGGGTGGAGGGAGGGGGGAGGGCTTCTTAGAAGGAGGCTGCTTCTTAGAAGGCGCCGGCTTCACATCTTTAGATAAGGCCCGCGCCTTGTAAGAAGCAGGGGAGCTTCTGAGGAGCCCTCCCCGCTCCCCCCACCCCCCTCTGCGCGTGGCCGAGGGTTCCAGGGCGGATCCCGCAAGGGCCATCCACGGGGCGGCACGGTTCAAACCCATGCCAGGAGGTGACCCCCCGCAGTCTTGGACTTCCAACACCACCGTGTCTCCCCGTGCCGTCGTCCCGTCGCGAGCCGATCGAGCGCTGCCGACACCGCAGCTGATAGCCAGCGCCACCTGAAGATCGTCTACACCCTGCGAAATGCTTAAGAAATCATGGGTTAAGAAATTCATAGTCTCAGAACTTGAATTTAAACCCAACATTTTTATTAAAATCTTCGGATTTACATTGAAACATTAAGAATAATCGAGACTCTGGCCGAAGGTGTACTACTCGAAAGCATATCTGGGACACCACTGGAGCCCCGACACGAGCCACGGCATCAGATGACTCCCACGCTAACGAAACTAACACACCCACCGCGACTCTGGCTGCCGGCCCGCAAATCAGCCTTGAGAGGGCATCGGTAGTCATGGAGGAATCCCACGGGCCCTTTAGGGCACGAGTGGTTTAGCAAGTTTTGTTATCCCACCCCCCAAATACCCCTTTTCAAAGAGCTTTACCACTGCTCCTGAAAAATGATTATCCCGTCGCCTACTGCCAGGATGCTCGATATAGCCTTCAGCACACCTCCAAGAGGCTCCCAGATCGCCCGAGAACGGCGCCAAGTAGCCGCAGAGCCTCCCAATGACGGCATCGAGAGGCCAGAGTCCTTCCAAAACGTATGGACAATCACTATGGTTGGCACTCTCGTTTTTTCTGTTTCGATGGGCTTCTGGGGAGCCAATACGGCTCCAAGACGGCCCACTGGAGCCCCAGGGGGGCCCACGAGGGCTCCACACGGCCCCAAGAGCGCCCAAGAGCGGCCCAAGAAAGCACCAAAAGTCGAGTTAAAGATCTCCGAAGGGGGGGAGGCGAAATTAGGAACCCATCTTTCTTTGATCGATGGCCTCCGAGATGGTCCGAAGAGGGCATCCAAGATCCACCAGGCGGGCCCAAGGGGGACCAAAGAGGCAGCAAACGAGCCCCAAGGCATCTAAAAATGGCCCAAAACGTGAGGGGCCCATAGAGGGTCCCAAGATGCCCCAATCAGCTGCCAAGATCCCAGATCGAAAGATCCGCAAAGGCCTTTACAATTGATTCCTGGGCCTGCTCCAACTGCTCCCGAACTCTGGCTTGACGGATGCATCCCTCTTTGCTCCACTGCTTGCTTATACCTAGCACTGATCAGGGCAGCTCGCCTGGGCATCGCTTCCTAGATGGGCTTGCGGGGATGCGCGAAGCGTCACGAACCGATGACGCCAAAAGCACTGGCCCGCAAGGGCCGAGAGGAGCCCGATGGTGCGCTAGTCTCCTCCGCATCCTTCTGTGTCGACCCCCGTGCACAGCGCCGAATCGCCAAGCCGCACCGATGCGTTCCTGCAAACTGCACAGGGGGACCCGAGCCTATACGCTCACTGCCCCCGGCCGGCGGCCGCCGCACCACAATGCAGTCCCTGAGGCACACTGCCTGCAAAGACCGAGCCGCTCCTGACTACGAGACCAGCCCTCGCCCACCCGACCGACCTTTGGCGACAACCTTTGGGAGCCTACAATACCACCTTGTTGGCTCTTGCGAATCGACGCTGGTCGACGCTGAATCGATGCTACATCGACGCCAATCGACGCTGAACCGGCGGTATCTCATCGATTGATTGCCAGAGAGCCATCAGCGCGAAAGCTCTATGAAGGCGGCACTACGAGGGCATACTGTTTGTTGCTCGCCGCGGCGAGGATCCACGCCGCAGTCGGAAGCAGCACACTGCGGGCCTAGTTGGGCCCAACAGGCAAGGAAGGCGGGGGCGCGCGCGGGGGGGGAAGGAGGTGGGGCACGCTCAGGGCATGAAGTTCTTAAACGTATGTGCTGGAACACGCCATACACAGTAGCATGGATTTGTCGATGCCATGACAATGGACACCCTAACCGTTTTATGATTGAACTAAACATGTATATGCCTTTTCAAATGTATCATACATGTTTGACAACATGTTCGAACAACGCTTAAACTATGTTTTAATACTAAAAAAACCTCTGTGGAGCGCAACATGTATCCTCCCCAGTTCACCGTCTTCCACTAGGCAAGATATGGGAGAAGGCCCGGGGTGCAAGCAGCACTTGATCAACCACAAATTGACCCTTGACCCTTTTGGGAGGGGACCTAAGTTAGGAGGTCCGGAAACTTGGGGACAGGGGGTCTTTACCACAGATGCATCGAACCAAGCCGCCCAAAAGTATGATCCCGAATAAATGTAAAGACTGGGACCTCAGTGAGGTTACGTCCTCATTGTCTCATGAGGGGTTGGGGACTGATTAATCTTCGATGAGCACTCGAATCGCGGCGGCGCGCGTTGCAAAAAGTGTTGTTTTGGGATGGGCTGGTGGGGATACTTTTATGGTACGCGGGCGCGCGAGGCCAAGTCGAACGACGAGCAAGCTAGGGCGGGCCGCGCCGTCTGGCGGGGATACTTTTTTCCGCGGCCGCAAGCGGAAGTGCAGGCAGCGTCCGAAGTCAGCCCAGGCTACGAGCCATACCTAATTACCTAAGCGCGCGAACGTCTGGCGGAGATACTTCTTGGTCAACAGGCTCGCGAGGCGGGTCGAAAGCC